TAATTGATTTCCTTTGATACTGTCATTATACTAAAGCAAAAGTACACACACATACACACACAAATATATATATATATATACAGTATATACATGTTAAAAAGAACAGCATTTATTCTAAATAGAAATCTTTTGATATAATACAATGACAGATTTGTTAGACAACCAGATAGGAAGCATGTATAAATCTCTAGCTTGCTTATATAAATAATTAGGCTGCATATATTTAATATTTTACATTATCACTTTAATTATCACAACCCTAAATAATAATAATAATAATACAAATTATTTTGGTTCTCTTTTAAATGGATCTCATTAAATTATTTTTATTCTCTTTTAAGTGGATCTCATTTTTATCTAATTTTCAGTGGACTCCAGTTTGAAACCCCCTGATCTAGTTAACACTGTTATTAAAAACAACAAAAATGTATGTACACAGTCCCATGCAGACTATATCTGTCTTCCCAGAAATTATGAAACTGAGCTGAAGGAAAAGCCTAAGCATGTGGACCAGACACACAACTGATGGTTGCTTATGATTACACTCTAGGCAACATCTGTTTAAAGTAAACACATCCATCAAGTATTAAATAACCTAATATGTGCAGTCCGCGCGACAGGGGATGATTCCCATTTTAATATTAAGTGTCAGTAGAAGAGAGAATATTTATCGAGACGACAGACATTTTATGCAAACACCTTGGCAGGCCTTTGTTTGTGATATTTTTAGCATGCAATTCAGTATACCTTGAGATTACACACACTCTCACACACACACACAGATACTGTACTTGGTGTAATGATGTTGTGAGTGGTGCCGATAAATCATGGACGCTTTAATCAAACCACAACGGTATAAGAGAATAATCAATCATTCAGAGCTCTGTCCCTCTTCTCCCCTCTCTATCTCTCCCTTTCTCTCTCTCTTTCCCATCTTTCTCTACTAAACAGCATCTCTGCAGTTTCCATGGGTAATAAAGCTGTCAGATAATTTCAAACTTGCTATTATTATTATTTGTATTGCAAATACTGTTGTGTGCATATTCTATGGGGGCCTGGGTGGCACAAATCAACAATTTAACTATAAACTTTCGAATGATTCAAAACATTTCTGCATTCAATACAATAATTTAGGTGAAATTCAATTCAATTCACTAGTTCACAACATTGCATGTGAGAAAATGCCTAAATCCAGATCCGCAAGACTGCAAATATATTTCAAGTGTGCTATTTTGTGGACTCTGAGGATTTTCAAAAACGTATCATGCCTGGGAACATCGCTAATGCCGTTCTGTTGTGTCCCCCAAAGACCTGTATAATAACCATTCACATAACTTTAAGATGCGGAATAAATGTAAAAATACAAACTAATGGATGTCACTGACTATTTCCATGTCACAGCACACTTCAATTGAGTTTGATATATTTTGCTGGGTTCTAGTTCAATTCATATCACAGGCACACAGTTAAAGGTCATACACTGAGTGTGTATGCAAGTATCTATGTGAGAAAAACCACATAAGCTACAGTTCAACAGAATGATGGAGAGGTTCAGTAAAACTACAATTTTATTCTGGATTCTGTGGGCCTTTTACTTGCTCTTTACACAGTCTGGCTGTGATAAATGATAAGACACCCAAACCGCACTGAAATGACATTGAGGGTGTCATTCTGAATGACCTTAAAAAGGGCAGGATTGATAGATATCACAAGCCATATACTACCAGGACAAAAAATATCCTGTTACAAGGATATACAGTTATTTATCAAAATACATAGTCTGACATTACTAAATAATTACTGAATTTTGTTCTTGCATTTGTTTACATTTAAACAGAGATTATATATTCGTCTTATTCAAAGTTATAATTAATCCAGTTGTATCCATTAATAAAATAGGGTGAGTGAAAATTATGGAAACATACAGCATTAGAACATCACACCTGCACATTAAATTTGTTAGGTTGTTTCATTTTCCCCCCACTGTTTTCTCTCTGAGCATTTGCCACCACCTACTGATGAGCTAGTGCTATGACACAGAATGGTCTATCATTCATCATTTGGAGTGTACAGTATATGAAATCTGATACGATTAATTTATTATTATTATTATTATTATTCAATTCAAATTAGTTGTTAAATCTAAATAAATTATATTTGAAATTATATTTAAATACATCATATTTATTATTATTGTTATTATTAATACAATAATAATAATAATGATTATAATTATAATAATGTTACTGTTAATTATAACGACTTTATAGTCCATGTTAGCTTACCAGACTTGTTTTTATTCTAGCGTACTCTTAAACGACTTTTCGTACATATATATATACTTTTAAAAGTTTTTCTCTTCCGGAAAAGCAACCCCAAAACTATTGACGACTCATCCTGGACTACAGATTTTTGTATAATCAGAGATGCTGTCTAGAATGACAATATCACCCTGCAACCGACTACTGTAAAGTAATGGCTATGTTCTGTGTCTTAATTCGACTTCGAATTCAAATAGGTAACCATGTTCTAAAAATATGTGTGAAAATGACATCTGAGTGTGTAGCAAAAGAGTCGCTGCATCCGAAATGACATAGCCTACTATACACTATGCACTTATGCACTGTACTCAACCATGTAGTGTATGAATTATATAAGGCTATTTTGACATTCATAATCGGCTGCATCCCAAATGACACACTACACTATGTACTTATACACTATATACTCAACCGTGTAGAGTATGAATAATATAAGGTTACTTTGTCATTCATTATCAGAGCCTGATAGCCCTTCCCCTTAATTAAAGCTGCAGCAGTTAAGTGCATGAAGTGTCCAACATTCTTTTTCGTTTTTCTTTTTTTCTCGGTTATTCGGTTATAAGTGCATCCTCCGGGTTTTTAAAGTGCACTTTTTCTATTTGAAAATTTCAATGTCAACACACTACTCGCACTTATTTATACTACAAAACGTCATAGAATAGTGCATAATGCCGAATTCACACTGCATGTTTATCAAACTCATCGGATCGCCGTTGTTTTCACACTGCGTAAATTATATTTAAATACATCATATTTATTATTATTGTTATTATTAATACAATAATAATAATAATGATTATAATTATAATAATGTTACTGTTAATTATAACGACTTTATAGTCCATGTTAGCTTACCAGACTTGTTTTTATTCTAGCGTACTCTTAAACGACTTTTCGTACATATATATATACTTTTAAAAGTTTTTCTCTTCCGGAAAAGCAACCCCAAAACTATTGACGACTCATCCTGGACTACAGATTTTTGTATAATCAGAGATGCTGTCTAGAATGACAATATCACCCTGCAACCGACTACTGTAAAGTAATGGCTATGTTCTGTGTCTTAATTCGACTTCGAATTCAAATAGGTAACCATGTTCTAAAAATATGTGTGAAAATGACATCTGAGTGTGTAGCAAAAGAGTCGCTGCATCCGAAATGACATAGCCTACTATACACTATGCACTTATGCACTGTACTCAACCATGTAGTGTATGAATTATATAAGGCTATTTTGTCATTCATAATCGGCTGCATCCCAAATGACACACTACACTATGTACTTATGCACTATATACTCAACCGTGTAGAGTATGAATAATATAAGGTTACTTTGTCATTCATTATCAGAGCCTGATAGCCCTTCCCCTTAATTAAAGCTGCAGCAGTTAAGTGCATGAAGTGTCCAACATTCTTTTTCGTTTTTCTTTTTTTCTCGGTTATTCGGTTATAAGTGCATCCTCCGGGTTTTTAAAGTGCACTTTTTCTATTTGAAAATTTCAATGTCAACACACTACTCGCACTTATTTATACTACAAAACGTCATAGAATAGTGCATAATGCCGAATTCACACTGCATGTTTATCAAACTCATCGGATCGCCGTTGTTTTCACACTGCGTGACTATCTGGGGTAGCATTCAGTTGCTGCTGTGTTCACATTGCACGATGGATCGGCGACAGGGGGTTTCACACTGCATGACTTCACAATAGGAAGAATCGCCGACAGCTCTGTCTGGTCTGCAAACTACGTTTCACAACAAAACACACGTGAGAAGTGATAAGGTAATAACGCGAGACCCCGCATGCGTCAGACCGGAGTTCTCCAGCAAAACCGGAATTATTTAAAAAAATAATATATATATAGCCCGTAAATTGTCTGTGAGCTGATTTCCAGCTACAAGGACAAAAAGAAAAACAGATTATGCAGGAGGGAGATGCAGGGAACAGGGATTGGGTGTTCTGCAAAGAGAGTTGGAGGTAAATAATTTTGCAGTAACTGTTATGCTGATGTTGTGGCTGGGGAAGCAAATGTTTGTGCTTGTTTCTGTATGATATAATTGTTCATATATCTATTAAAATACTGATATTCTGGTCTATAACTCCTCCCCGAACTTCCCTCTGCCCTGTATCTTGGTCTCTCATTGGCTGTAGGTCATCGCCGATGTAGTTTTCAGTCAGAAATCATTGCACACAGCATGATTGTGAATTGGCGACAGCTCCAGATATTTATTTCGCAAAACCTGTCGGCGAGTGAAAAATCGGCCTAAAATCGTGTAGTGTGAACTCTACACATCCGCCATGTTTGTAGTTTTTAACAAGTTTTATTCATGTTTGTATTTCTGGACCGAATCCTTCACCAAAGCGCAATGGACTGTGGGCAATATCAGCCATTAGAGTGTGCACGGATCCACACTTCAAAAATCGACCTGAAATAGTAGACCATCCGGGGACTTTTGGCATACTCTTTTCAACATACTATGCTTTGGGACACACTTATTCTAATCTCACATACTATTTAGGATGGATAGTATGAACATTGGGAAGCAGGGCCTGTCTTAACCCTCAGCATAATGAGGCACAGGTGAAAACAACAAGCTGATTGATGAACAGATTTGATTGGTCATCCAATATCACTGAGCGATTCAAAAGTGAGTCCAAATAGCACAGCATGTCTCTGTAAGCTCGTCAAGCTGTAGAGTTAAGGTTTTTTTTTTCTAATAACTGTGAATTTCTTGGCGGTTGCGTGAAGATTTACCATGCTTTGTGCAAAGGGCATCTTACTTTTCACAATGGCTGTGGTGTTACTGAGTTCTTGTTTAAGGGCTGATCCTGAGGCCTTTTCTAAAGCAGGTGCTGCTTATGGAGCAGTCCCTGAAAACACTGTCCGTTTTGGCAAACTTTTAATTGGTGGGCTAGGTTCAGTATCTTATAATAATATGAAGACATCAGCATTGAGGTCAGTGGAGTCTGAAGGGCACCAGTCAAAAGAAGGTAACTTTGAAAATCTATTTTTTTTTTTTTTTGAAGTGGGGACTAACTTTAACTTGTTTTCCTCCAAGCGTGGTTTCACCCTTCTAGCGCTAAGCTGCACCGTCTGGGTTCTTCTGTGCAATGCAGCAATGATTCAATGATTTTGCGCATTCCAGGACAGAGAATGCCACACTTTCTGGTTGACCGAGGTGAGTTTGTGTGGGGTTTTTTTTTCTTTTTTTTTTCTTTTTTCTTTCCCATATACTTAATTTTTCAACCATCAGGAGAGGAGTCGCCAGTGCCTTTGTCCGAGATGCCAGCTAGCTGTGGCTTCTCACTGAAGCGGGCACGCAGGGATGTCTCCCTTGTTGCTCCATACCGGGGCTGTCATGTCAGACGAAAGGTTAGTGCATGATAAAAGTGCTCTGTCTCTGTTCCATCCATGTGATGCCTTTTCATGAGTTTGTTTGGAGGCTTTAACTTAATTTCTCCATCTAACAGGGTGGAAGTTATATTCTGCCGCTCCTTATAATGGGAGCTCCAGTGCAAATGTCTTGCCCTGTGAGTCCTCTCCTCCCTTCCGTGACCTGCTTATCCTCTGGCATGATTGTCAAATTTGGTGTCAGGGCAGATGATGTTAAAGTTAAAGGCAAGTTTAAATTCTTAAAGGCAAGGCCCTAATTCTTTGCATTCAATCCAGTAGTTGGAAAGACTGAGCTTGACTGTTTCTCTGCTTTTAGTTGATGGATCATGGCAGCCTCTGCTTCTAAAGTATAATCAATGTTCTTTTACATTGGAGCCTACTGCTGGTTCACTGGTTGTCACTGCACCATTCACAGGAAGCTGTTGGGAAGTGACGGTAAGAATAACTGACTTGTTCACCGAATGTTTTTTTTTTTTAACCATTTACTGGTTGATTTTTGTCCTCAGGATACTGAAATGCAACTCCCTTTGATGTACGGTGACCAGGAAGTGACTCTTTCCTGTCCTCTGACACCGCCAACCATAGCCCCAACCACACCTGCTGTCCGTGACCCAACTGTCATGCAACCGATTATTAACCCTTTCCCTTTTGGAAGACCCTGGTGGTATCCTCCATATTATCCTGGTGTACCTGCTACCCTGCCTCCCACTGCGCCACCTACAATGACTACAACTGCTCCTTTTCAATATCCTTTCCAGCAACACGTGTTCCCTCACCAGTATCCCATGCCAATATTTGATCCCTTTTACTCTAAAGGTGATCCAGCTGCTCCTCCAGCACCACAACATCCCTGGTACCCTCCTTATATGAATGGCTTCCAAAGCCCAGTTGAAGTGACCACTCCTGCAACTACCCCATACCAGCCTCGGCACCAGTATCCAGGTTATCCAATGTACCCACCATTCTATGGTCCTCAACCCATGAAGTCTTTTGTGTCTCCAACTGTGAAATACCCTTTCATGCCCCAGTATCCTAAGGATCCAGTCTTTGGTCCCCGCAGCCTGAAATCACAGTCTTCTCCTGCACGGTTATCCTCGTTCTATAGATCTCGTAGGTAACCACTTGATTGAGTGGACTCTGAAGTGGCATTGCTTTTATTGACACCGGAATGAATTAAATGACATCAATAGTTGTTTGTAAGCCTAATAAAGCTTTGACTTCATGGTTTTGTTTTTTTTTTTATTTTATTTATTTATTTTTTTTTGGTGGAGTTTCTTTTGCTGTTTGAGCAAACAGGAATGCAAAACAAATATTGAAGTCTACCATTTACTGCTATAGAATTTCTTTAACGAGTTCTGCTGCTGAGAAACCAGCAAATGTGGAAAGGTCTATTTTGTCACTAAATATAGTTCCAACCAAAGCATAACAAAACTGTGCAATACACAGTGGTGTTTTGTAGAAGTAGTCTCATTACTTGGCTGTTGTTCACTGACAAGATGTGCAAAACATGATCGTGGTTTTGTGCAGCTTGTCAGTGAACAACGGCTCTGTATAGTAATGCAGATTTACTGCTGATTACAGAACTGGCTTTACTGGCAAGCTGCGCATTAAATATCGCAAGCGATTTATCGTGCAGCCCTAACCTTAATCGCTTGGGAGACATTCTTGTCTACATCTGCTCCAGCGGTGAAACAATGGTGGACTGATGACCGCTCACTTACATAAAGTAAGATGCCAGTGCAGTCTGTGATGAAACACTACTGTCAATCAAACTATCATGGGAGGGGCCTGTTTTTGTGATGTCACACAGACAGGCATCTGATTTGAGAAAGGGGTAAAAATTTGAGCCAAAAAAAAAACACGGTGGATTTTTATCATTTAACACCTCAATCGCTTAGGAGTCATTCTTGTCTACGTCTGCTCCAGTGTCGAAACAATGGCGGACTGATGACGGCTCACTCAGAGTGGGTCTAAGGTAAGACGCCAGTCCAGTCTGTGCTGAAACGCTACTGTCAATCAAACAATCATGGGAGGGGCTTGTCAGTGTGACGTCACACTGACAGGCATCTGAGATCGGCTCGATTTGAGAAAGGGGAAATGATTTAACGAGATTAAAATTATAGATATAGATTTATCATTATAGGGTGGTTGTGCACACACACTGCCAACACACATTTAAGTTCAAACAACTTGTAACAATGCATGTAGCATCATATGATCCCTTTAAGCCTCGTTCAGACTGTCAGCCCAAATCTGATTGAAATCCGATCATATTTAAATAGTCTGAAAGGCAACGAACTACATGAAGTCCGATTTTTGCAAATGTGTTTCGAGCTACATTCATGTGGTTTGGAATCATATTCAAGTCGCGTTCCTGGAAATCCGTTTGTCTGACCAGTCAGATGGGATTTAGCCTAGCTTTGTCACGTTTTCACGCCACGTAAAATGTAAAAACGTCAAACGTTTTGTAGAAAACATAACGAACATCTTTACAGAAACAAACTTGTGTTGTTTTTGCGAACTGCAAGTCAACTGCAAGCAGAAAAAGACAATATACTGCTAGTATATGCACCTCTTTGAGTTTTGAAACCAGCGGAGAAGGCAGCATGGAATAAAGCTGCACATTCCAGCTTCCTGCGTTTCTGCTGCTGCCTCGTAAAATGAAAACCATAATAATCCAGCGCAACGGCAACATGTCATGTAAGACAATCTGTATTGCAAACTGTATTGCTATTATTGTTGCATTGCCATAGAAACCAACGCACATTCCGTAAAATTAAAGAGTGCTTATGGACACACAAATCGGATATGAACAGTTGCGATACACTGTGTGGACAGTTATTCAAGTGTATAAACAAATTTCAGGGAGGAGCACGCACAGATAATTAACACGGCCAGTCCATCATTAGTGATTACTCCATTTATCCAATCAGCACAAGAGAAAACTCCTATAAATAACGAAGTACATCCTACCTTCGTTATCTCTCGACTTTCAGCATTCGGTTCGCTGCTTTTTACCACAGACCCAATTTCCCGTCCAATGAAAAGACCTATACTGGGGATTTTTCAGATCCTCCACCGCTATTTGCTGGCCCCATGATCACTCCTTCTCCGCCAGACATGGCCGCCGAGCACCAGGCTTCATCGCGGCCGCTGCTTTTCTCGACAAGCCACACGCTCTGGCCAATAGACTGTGCAAAGCCCTGAGCTCGCCTCGCTCGACACTACCATCGTCCCGCACAAGACCTGGCTCTCCTCGAGCGCTGGGTCGCAGCAGCAGCAGGCCTTCAACAAGCCTGGGCCGTGTAGGATATCAGACCGAATCAGACAATCTAAGATTTGGTCAAAACATGGTTGAAACATGAGAATTCCACAGAGGCCCAAGACAACAGGATGTTCATAAATCAGACCCTAGCACTAGCATGGAAATATTTCACCATTTACTTACACACCCACGGCGCGCTCACTCAGAATCGATCTAAAACGCAACTGCCCTCGTGTTTTGCCGCAGGACAGCAATCGTGAGTAAAATTTCTGTCGTCTTTAGGTCTGTAATATGAAGAGCGTACAAAGTAAATATCTTTATCAACAGCGTGAAAGTGAATAGCACATAACTGCAAAATTAGCCTTACCGGTATAAACATGTCTATTGGTACAATGCAGTGTTGCCAGACGTATGATGATTATCGTGTTTGTACGATAATTTTGACCTCTGTATGATGTACGATCAAAAAAAAAAAGACCATTCAAATTATGGTAGTTGTAGTCATAGGGCTTCCATATTCATACACAAAATCGGCTCATTACAGACACTCTAAATGAGCTCATGCACACCTCCGAGTGTGTTAAGAATGCATGAGGATGCCCTGCTTTAAAGCCAACGAGCACCATGTTGTGGTCCATGATGGCAAGAACCCCTTCAACATCTGGCAACACACAGGCTTCCGATGACAGCGGCTCAGATGTGGAGTTAACAGCTGATGTCTGTCTGCACTGGATGTGACAATGTGAGTGTAAAAAAAAAAATTATAATAATTTTGATACGTCATAAATAGAACGAGGCATCAGTTTACTGTCGGGGATGTGTCGTGTCGCATCCAGTGCAAACAGTCACTGATTATAATGGTTTCTATAGTATTTCGTCGCACTGCTCGCGCCCAATGTAAACACGGCACGCCTAGTTATGTGGTAATTTGCAGGTTGTTGAGATAAAAGTTGTTGGTTTAGATAAATAGCTGTATTCTGTACATTTGACTCATGTACGATAATTTTCTTTCAAATACGATTATTTTGAGCTTCTGGTACGATACTTGGACATTTCCAATCTGGCAACACTGGTACAATGCATCACATGACTAAACATGTGTCATCGTTTTCAGAAGCCTCCGTTTCCACAGTCCATACTACAACGTGAAAACAGCATTTTCAAATGTATCCGCTCTGGAAAGCGTTCTAAAAGCTCTGTTTTCCTGGACTCCTTGTTTTAGTACGGATGGAAGGCCAAAACGAGAGGAAAAGATGCGTTTTCAATGGAAACTTATTAATGTGGACAAGGCTTGAGGAGTTGCCAAATCTAGCAACAAATTGACTGCAACACAAACTAATTCTGCAACACCGCAGGCTACTCAGGCATTTCAGCTTGTCCCGCTAAATGTCACTAACCCTTCCACTTTCTCGTGGCCTACAGCTATAGCAGCCGAAGCAAGCGCAAAGCTGCTTCCACTTGCAACACAGGCCCTCACATCTCAGCATTTCCTTCCTGTGACTTCTACCTCCATTCGTAACACAGGCCCACACCTCTTCCCCTCCCTCATGCTACTAATAACCATTTTTCTGTTCAGTGGCCTCCA